AGAACAGGGGAATCTGTGGCTATTATGTTGAACTGAATGGTGTTGTAAAATAATAAAAAAAAAAAACTAGTCTTCCCAGGAATTGGCCATTGTCTCAAATTTTCTCAGGATCCCCATAAGATTACCAGCACCCCCAATCAACAGGAAGTTGTCTAGAGAATTATGCCCAAATTTCCAAAATATTGATTATGAATGTTTTCATCTAAGGGGGGTTGGTTAGAAATGGTTAATGTTCATAGTTAATCTCTTCCTAAAGAAAAATGTGGATATGATATAGAAATGATGGGGGGAAACGTATATTACTATGATACAAAGGGGTAGATTATTGAATGTATTTTAATCCAAAAAACAAGTGTTAATCTCAAAATACTTTACATTGGTATGGATTTCAATTCAAACTTAATTTGAATTTTAATTCAAACTTAAGGTCAAATTTATTATGCCATATGTATATTTCTACTTTTGTGTAAGATATTGTTTATGAAGTTCATTTAAAATGTAATATATGATTAAAAATACAGATTAATGGTTACGCATCTATAATAGTCAAATTTATAGCCATATTAGTTAGGTTTTACTTAGATATACAAAGATATATTTCAATTAGATAGATAATCTTCAAACACTTCAAAGACCTACAGAATATGATATTTAAAATATTTTAAGAACTTAAACTTTTCTCAACAGTTAGACACATCTGCTTCTCAAAGTACCAATAAATCAAAGATGATGATGGGCATTGAAGAAACTCTTTATGTAGATTACTTTCAATGTGGCAAGGCTAGTCATTTGGGCAAGAAATTGATTTTGGCTGGACTGCTTGACAGTATGCTGTATAAACTAGATATGCAGGACCCACAGGAAAATGACTGCTAAAATTTCCCACAACAAAGTATGGTGTACTTCAGGTTCCTGCTTCACAGAAGAAACTGCCTAACATTTTGCAGGACAAAGAAGAAAGTGACTGATGAACTTTGCAAATATAGGTGAGACAGTCCTTAAATTCCCCACTTCATTAAAAAGTCTACCAGATACCCTAAGGCTGTAGGCTGAAGATGGATGCCACAACATTGCAGAAGAAATTTGGGTGACTGTCCAATCAGCCAGATGTCTCTGTCATTTCTTGAGTTTTGAAAATTACCTGCTTGTACTTCTTGCTTACTCAGGTAATATTATATCCTTCTGGGGTTTTGATGGAGTTGAAGACTAGATAATTATAATTATAGTTTTCCTTAGTTATGATAAAAGATAAATTAAATATAAAACTTTAGATTCACAAAGATATTATAGATGAGAGAGTATTTTCTTTAATTTTGTCAAATACAAATAGACTAAATATTGTAACTGATTCTAACTTGATAATTGCTTTTTATTAAGAAAATTTATTATTCATTTTATATACCAATCAAAGATCCCCCTCTTCCCACCTTGCACCCTTCCAGACTCCCCCTCCCAACCCAGACCCCCAGCCCTCTGATAAAAAGGTAAGGCCTCCCATGGAGAGGTACATTAAGTAGAGGCCTGTCCAAGCCCCTGCCCATGCCTCAAGGCTGTGTGAAGAGTCCTGCCATAGGGAGTGAGCTCCAAAAAGCCTGCCCACACACAAGGAATAGATTCTGGCCCTACTGCCAGCAGACACTTAAGCACATCAAGCTACACATCTGTTTCTCTATGCAGAGGGCCTAGTCTAGTCCCATATAGTTTTCACAGCTATTCATCTAAATTTCATGAGTTCCCACTAGTTTGGTTTGGTTGTCTCTGTAGGTTTCTCCATCATGATCTTGTTGTACTTGCTCATAGAATCACTCTTCTCTCTCTTCGAATGGACTCCTGGTGCTCAGCCTGGTGTTTGACTGTGGATTTCTGCATCTGCTTCCATCAGTTATTGGAGAAAGGCTCTATGATGACAGTTAATGTATTCACTGATCTGATTACTGGGATAAGCCAGTTCAGGCACCCTCTCCACTATTGCTAGTAGTCTAAGCTGAGGTCATCCTTGGGGATTCCTGGGAACTTCCCTAGCACCTGGTTTCTCCCTATCCCCCTGATGTCTCCCTCTATCATGGTATCTATTTCATTGCTTTCCCACTCCATGCCTGTTCCAGCTTGACCATCCCTTTCCCTTATGTTCTCATCCCCCATCCCCTACCCTCTATTGCCCACCCCTCATCCTCAGTTTACTCATGGAGATCTTATCTATTTCCTCTTCCCATATTTTTATCGTATATAATTTTACTATGTGAAAGTTAAAACTTTCCTTTTTGATTAGAGAGTAAGGGGAAAAATGCTGTGGAATGTTCTTTCTATATGCTGTGAATATGTGCTGCTCTCATTGATTGATAGATAAAGCTGACTTGGCCTATAGACAGGCATCATATAGCTAGGATGGAAAGCCAAACAGAATACAGGGAGATAGGAGGGTGGAGTGGAGGCAGATACCAGTAACTGCCCAAGAAGCAAGATGCCAGAGCTCTGGTGAGCATCAGGTCACATGGTGATACACAGATTAATAGGAATGCATTAATTTAAATGTAAGAGCAGCTTGTAATAAGCCTGAGCTGCTGGCAAAACATTTATAATTACTATAATCCTTTGAGTGATTATTTGGAAGTGGCTATGGAATAGAATGAAACAGAGAAACCTCTGTTTACACATTATCTTGGTAAATTTAGTTCCATAATTTATATCTTAGCATGTGTGGATCATTAACAGTTAGTTGTGTTTCTTGGAGAAAACAGACAGTTGCTTATAGTTTTTTAACCTAGTAAAAACAATATGTGTATCATTCTTGCTGAATTGGGGTCACATAAGTTCATTAATAAATGTTTATAAATTTCTATCATTTTCTTGGTGTTTCTTGATGTATTAGATTTTTGTTTATTTGTTTTCTTTTTCCTCTATTCCTCAACTATATTGGAGTTTCTGGCTTATAGCTTTGGACATACTGATATCTCCTTTCCTGATAACCATTTTTTATTTATTCCTCTTTTGACATCATTTTGTCTGTATTCTCATGATTGAGTTGATCTTTCTTTTTCTTTGTGCATAGTATTTTATAGTATCTTCTGCAGTGCTGTTTTCATGGTCTTGAAATGGCTTAGTTTGTGATGTGCTTGTAATGTCCTTATTTCTCTCTCACTTTAAATATGATTTTTCAGGACATAGCAAACTTATTTGGCAATGACCTAATATAAGAGTCTGAAATACATCATTCCATTCTTTTCTGGTCTTTAAGGTTTTGAATGAGAGTTCAGATTGTTACATTAAAATTTTAATTTAACATTTCAGTTGTGGTTTTCCCTTGTTCACTTATTTTTGCCATATTGCTGATTGTTTTATTTTCTTGCTTATGTTTGCCTATATGTCACTATCCTTCCTCCCTACATCTTTGACTGAATAAATTTTTGTTCATATCTTTTGTGGTAATTCACCATTTTATGAGTATGTTTTGAAAATCTTCACCCAACATTTTACCTATTTTAGATCTTTGAATTGAATCATGATCCTTAGGGGACATAATTTTTGGTTCGATTTTTTTGATCCTGTGTTTCTGTGTTGTTATTCATATCTTTCATTTAAGTACCTCTTTTGGTTTATTTGAAGCTTTTCTAAATTTAGCAACCTACACTCAAAGGTTCACTGCCTAGAATCACTCAGCTTTAAGGAATTGGGAGATTTCCAACAATTTTATGTAGTCTGTAACACACTTGTTCCCTGCCATATCTCCAGAATGGTGCTCAATAAGTTTCTTAATCAGAATATGGACATGATTAGTTAGCACATTTTTTACATGGGAGCACATTATATCCCCCCTACAAACATTAAGCTTTATTAATTGATATGAAGTGTAAAGACTGGAGGCAGAGTCTGCTTACACAGAATTATATCCAACATTGGAGTGAAGAGTGGTTTCTCAGTCTCCACAATTGGAAATCAGATATGGAGACTTCAGACAGAGATATGGCCTGAGAAACAAGTGCAAAAAAATATTATATTTTCCCTCCTTCAAAGATCCTAAGTATCTGTATTCTAAGTATGTAAGTTCATGTGCGTATATATGGCTATGTATATTTCCTTATGCATTCATGTGTATGTGTGTGTATATGTAGTGTGTATATATGTGTATTATGTGAATATGTGTTTATCTGTGTGTACATATGTGCATAAGTGTGTATGTGAATGTGGGTGCAGGTGGGTGCATGGGGGCTTAACATGGGTGTAGGTGTATATATGACAGAGAGAGATAAACGTAGAAGATAGACTGGGGAAGAAAATATAGCAGGAAAGGGAAGGGGAAATGGGGAAGATTAGCATATAATTTCAAAGTATATGATATACTGGAAAAACATTGCTTTTAAGAAAATTGTGTACAATGAATTTACTTCAATAGAAGAATTTAATGGGCAGCAAGATGGCTCACATGCCAAAGAAACTGGTCACCATGTCTGATGTAAAACCTGAGTTTGATCCCCAGAAAAAAAAAATAACCAAGATAATCAAGTCCAAGCTGTCCTCTAACCTCCACAACTATGCCATGTAAGATTTGCACCTAGAAACATGCACACACAGACACTCAAACGCATGTTCACATGAACACAGAAAAAAAGTAACTAAAATGTAATAAAAAAGTAAAAGAAAAAAACAGAAGAAATAAACATGTGTAAGGAAGTAAGAAAGCCCTCCAAAAACTAGGAAAAAAATAGGAAACACTCTTTCCAGAGCCTCCAAACATAAACACAATTTGCCGTCATCATCACTTCAGCCCATAAACTCTTATGATAAACACCAGAACTTCAGAACTATAAAAAGATAAATTCCTCATATTCAAGCAGCAGAGTTTGTAGTAATGTGTTACAGAAGGAATAGAAAGATAATACTGAGTTCTCTTTTGCACTCTAGTATAAAGGTTTTTCGTACCAGAAGACATAAGAAACATTGAAGCCATTATTTTTTTCTGGGCTCTGCAAACTTTTTCATCAATGTTTTAGGCTCACTGGCTCTCAGGCAGAAAGGGGAAGAATGCTGGTCCAGGGCTGTGTGTGGTGCAGGCAGCTGCTGAGACTCTCAGAGGAGGTTTTTGTTGGAGGCTGAAGCACTGTGTGAGGATGGTAATAATGCTGCATACAGTAGTAATCTCCAAGATCTTCAGCCTGAACACTGCTGATAGTAAGAGTAAAATCTGTCCCAGACCCACTGCCTATGAAGCGATCAGGGACCCCAGTGTCCCGAGTGGATGCCCAGTAGATCAGCAGTTTAGGAGATTGCCCTGGTTTCTGCTGGTACCAGGCTAAGTAGTTCTTCTTGTTTTCACTGTAAAAAAGATTCTGACTGGACTTGCAGCTGATGGTGACCTTCTCTCCTGCTGACACAGCCAGGGAGGAAGGAGACTGGGTCATCATAGTGTCTGCACAGGCACCTGCAATCAGGAATACATAAAGAAAATGAATAAGATGCAAACACAAAATGTAGTAACAGTTGAAATTTGTCATTTAATATCCTTGTAATGTCATGTTTTCAGAGTGTTTAACTTACACAATAGAGTAAAAACTGTCATGTCCTAACACACATTGTAAATTTCTTATATACAAAGAAGTGAGTCTAAAAAGATTATAATACTTTTGAATTTCTCACCAGACACCCAGAGGAGCAGAAACATGAGGACCTGTGTCTGTGATTCCATTTTTCTCCCCCTGCTGTCTAATGCTTCTCAGTTCTCACCACAAAGGCTTGGTTTATAAATTCTGAGCAGCTGGGCTGGACTAGAGGGGCCCATGCAAAGCAGTCAGCAAATACATAAGGAAATATTTGGACAGTGTGCATGAGTGGATAGTGTCAATCAACAGACAAAAATACCATCACAGGGAGTATGAGCAATCACTAAAAGATATCTGCTTACTGCTCTCAAACAGAAATCTATTAGGTACTCTAATAACAACTTTGGGCTAAAACCCAAGACACATTTAAATCATTTTTCTTTTACAGAAATGTTAGGAAAGCTATCTCAGATTAACAGTACTAGGGAAGTGATAAAATGTGTTCAAAAAATCACAACAGCAAAATAAACTTAGAGTAAGTAAACATGCAATGAAAGAAAGGAAAGGTGTTGGGAGGAACAGAGGAAAGGCAGAAAATATATATATATATATAGAGAGAGAGAGAGAGAATTGAGCTAAATGTATTTATCATCTTCCATCTGTAAAGCCACTCTTATACTGAGGGCAATGAACATTGAGCTTCATTTTCTGGACTAAACAAGGGACTGAGATACAAAGAGCAGCCCAGCATTCACTCTGTGGAAATCCTGGGGAACATTAAGATTGAGATGAGAGAAGCTTTAATCTCAAAGCAGAGGTAACCCAAGCAGAAACTATCAAGCATCTTCCCCACAACTCCGGGAATTGAAACAGGACTCTAAATTTTGGAAATTGGAAGGGGAACAAAACAAACTCTATTTCTTCAAGAAGTCATGTCTGTAGACCAACACTGCCAAGAGTGTTTCTTCCATAAATACATATTCTAGAGTAATCCTGAAATTATATTATTGAAATTGGCTGAAAATAGTCTTGATAACATGGTGAACAGGTAAAAACCTCTCCAGAAGGGGACACAGCTATCCTAAATCAAGTAATAATTTTACAGAGACCAATAGACCACACCATCAGAGAGGGTTGCCATCCAAGGGGGAAAAATGTTTGAGGATGAATGGAAATCAATAGCAATAACAGAAATCACAAATCATGCATTCTGACTTCAGACTGGTGAACTCTAAAAGTTATAAGAAGCAAATTATAAACCAAGCATTTTGTGTAAAATACAAGAAATAGAAAAATAAATACATTATATATCATTGCAAGGAGTAGAGATTCAGATCTGTAATCTCAGACCTGAAGAGACAGAAGCAGGAGGTTTATGTGTTTGAGGCCAGCCTAGGGTACAAGTTCTAGGCCAGTCTAATCCATGCATGGAAACAATCTCTCAGAAGTGTGCATCATTAATGAAGTAATTACAAAGCAGCTCTATGCATTCGATATACAAAGCATTTATCTGATGTTAAGGCTCCATGCAACATCTCCAAAATAGGTGCTCAATAAGTTTCTAAATCAGAACATAGACGTAATTAGTTAGCACATTTGTCACATGGGAGCACAAAATATTTCCTTCTGAAAATGTTAAACTTTATTAATTGATATGAAATGTAAAGCCTGGAAGGCAGAATCTGCTGACACAGAATTGTATCCAACATTAGTGTGAAGGGAGTGTTCTCAGTTTCCACAGTTGGAAATCAGATATGGAGAGTTCAGAGGGAGACATGGCCCCAGAAACAAAGGGAAGAAATATCACTTTTTCCCTCCTTTGCTGGTCCAAAGTATGAGGATTCTGGGTATGCGAAGTTCATGTCTCTCTGTATCTATATGTGTATATGTATATATGTATATGTGCATATATGTGTATGTGTATGTATGCATATGTGCATATATGTGTATGTATATGTATGTGCTGGATGGGTTGGTGTGGGTGGGTCGGTATGTATGACAGAGACAAAGAGATAAAAGTAAAAGAAACTAGGGAAGAAAAGATGGCAGGAAATGGAAGGGGAAATGGAGAAGGTTAGTACATATGGTCAAATATATGATATACTAGAAAAACACAGCTTTTAAGAATATTGTGTACAATGAATTTACATCAATAAAATATTTTAAGAGTCAGGAAGATGGATCATATGGCAAAGACATTTGACAGCAAGCTTGATGACAAATCTGAGCTTGATCCTCAGAACCTTAATGACAAAGAGACAATGAAGTCCAAGTGTCCTCTGACTTCCACAGCTATGCCATGTCACATGTGCACCTAGAAACATACACAAAAATACACAGACAGAGGTAATTAATTAAGTAAAATGTAATAAAAGTTAAAAGAATTTATGGAAAGGAAAAGAAAAAGATAGAAGAAATGGGTACCAGTAAGAAAGTAAGAAAGCACTCCAGAATTTAGAAAAAAATAGGAAACACACTTTCTAAAGACTCAAAGCATAAACACAGTTTGCCATAGACTTCAGCCCATAGACTCTTATGATGGACACCAGAACTCCAGAGTTTTGGGTTACAGGTTACAGAAGGAATAGAAAAAATAATACTGAGTTCTCCATTGCATTTTCTTATGAAGGTTTTTCATATAAAAAGACACAAGTGACATTAAACCCATTATATTTTGCTGGGTCTGCAAATATTTTCATCAATGTTTCAGGCTCACTGGCTCTCAGCCAAAAGGGGGAAGTGGAAGTGTGCAGGTCCAGGGCTGTGTGGGGCAGGCAGCTGGTGAGACTCTCAGAGGAGGTTTTTGTTGGAGGCTGAAGCACTGTGGGAGGAGTACTATAAACCTGAAGACAGTAGTAATCTGCCAGGTCTTCAGCCTGGACACTGCTGATGGTGAGAGTGAAGTCTGTCCCAGACCCGCTGCCTGTGAAGCGATCAGGGACCCCAGTGTCCCAAGTGGATGCTAAGTAGATCAGCAGTTTAGTAGATTGCCCAGGTTTCTGCTGGTACCAGGATAAGCGGTTGTTTTTATGGTCTAAAAGACTTTGACTGGACTTGCAGCTGATGGTGACCTTCTCTCCTGCTGACACAGCCAGGGAGGATGGAGACTGGGTCATCACGATGTCTGCACAGGCACCTGCAATATGGAAGAGCAATGATCATACATAATAATAAAAAAAAAACACCCACAGTATTCAATACAGATGAAATTCGTCATTTAATGTCCTTGTAATGCCATATTGTCAGAATATTATTGTGTAAGAAATATTACACCCTGGCACACATAGTAAATATTTTATATACAAAGAAATGACTCTAAAAAGATTATAATACTTTTCAATTTCTCACCAGACACCCAGAGCATCAGGGACATGAGGACCTGCTTCTGTGACTCCATTTTGCTCTCTCTGCCTGTCTAATGATGCTCAGTTCTCACTGTAAAGATCTGGTTTATAAATTCTGAGCAGCTGGTCTAGGCTGGAAGAGCCCATGCAAAGCAGTCAGCAGATACAAAAGCAAATGCCTGGGCAGTTTGTGTGAGAGTGGCTGGTGTCAATCAACAGGCAAATGTACCATCACAGAGAGCATAAGAAATTACTGAAAGATATTTACTTATAGCTTTCCAACAAAAATCTACTAGGATCTCTAGTAGTAGAAACTTTGATTAAAATCCAAGACATTTAAATCAGGTGACTTGTGCAGAAACATTAGGAGAGCTATCTCAAATTGACAGTCCTAAAGAAATGATATGTTCAAAAAATTACAAAAAATTAGAAAACAGAGTAAGAAAACATGCAATAAAAGAAAGGAAGTACAGAATGAAGAAAAGAGGAGAGCCAAAAACTAAAGAAGTAATCCTAATTATTTTCATTGTCTCCCATCTCCAAAACAACTCTTACAGTAAGGACAAGGAACAGGGCCTTGAACATTTGGGCTCCCATTTCTGGGCCAAACATTGAAGACAGATGTAAAGAGAAGCCCATAATCGCTCTGTGGAAATCCTGGGGACATTAATTTAAACCTGAGATCAGAGGAACTTTAACCTCAAACCAAAGTTAAACCCAACAGAAACTAACACGTATCCTCCCTACAACTTTAGGAAACAGAAAGAGAACTCTACATTGGGGGAATGGAGAGGAATCAAGAAAAAAGATTTCTTCAAGAATTTGTGGTACATGCACTTTGCCAAGAGTATTTACTTCAGAAATGCATATTCTAGGATAATTTAGATTAGCAGTATTAAAACTGGGTTAATGCTATGGGATAATGCTTCTGTACACTGGTTTAATGAAACTCAAATTGGCCAGTAGCCAGGCAGGAAGTATAGGCAGGATAAACAGACAAGGAGAATTCTGGGTAGAGGAAGGCTGAGTCAGGAGATGCTAGCCTGCCGTCCAGGGAGCAGCATGTAATGGCACACAGTAAAAGCCACAGAACACATGTCGATATATAGATTTACAGAAATGGGCTGAGTTTAAGTGTAAGAGCTGGTCAATGGTAGGCCTGAGCTAATGGCTAAGCAGTCTTAATTAATATAAGCCTCTATGTTTTCTTCGGTCTGAGTGTGTGGGGCCCAGGCACAAAATGTTAAATTACTTTTGATGAGCAATTTCAGATTTCCTCTGTCAACCATCATATGAGAGAGATAAAGAGGGTGTGGATTAAGGAAGTTCCCAAATTCAAGGTCAAGAATATGACAGATGAGTATCTGCCCCATTCAGAGTCTAACAAGTTATCATGTGCTCTCTCTCAATCTTTGCTAAACTCTGTACTTTGCTTTGTGACAGCTGCAGTGAGCACAGATTGTGCTTCATGTCATTTACTGCTGCTCAATCAGGTTGGTCACATGGAGACTGAGGTATTATAAATCCAAAGTCTCCTGCAGTTAATCATGTGCTTCTCACAGTGTGTAAGGGGAGAGCATGGGGACTAAAAGGACAAAATTCCCTTGTTCTTTTAAGTGTAGTAGAAAAATCTGGACAGTCCTTAGTTATTGTTTTGCCCACAAGTCAAGTTTCCACACTGTTCTGGTTCATTAGATTCCTTGGGCTGGGATTAAAAGTGAACAAACTACAAACCTACTGGCTGAAAACAACATAGATAAATTTGCTCCCAGCTTTGACTCAGGAAGTCTGATGTTGATGATCTTGAGCTCATGGGACACAGCACCCTCTTCCATGGGTACCACTGTGGAATGAGGCCCAGGGAAGTTCTATTTCATCCTCAAAATAAGCAAAATGGAGAAAGAGGATGTTGTCATTTATTATGGTGTAAAAGGCACGAAATCTTCACATCCAGTACCATAGCCTAAAATGCAAACTTCTCTAGTTAAATGGTCCAAATGCTGTCACATGTTACATATCTTTGGCACATCATAAAATACTGCCTAAAATTGTGTGAGTGGAAGAACAATAGACCAACAATTTACAGTTGAGTTCTGTACACCATGGGAAATCAGCTTCATTCAGGCAAAACCTTAATGGTCCTTTCAGCTCCACCATCCTCAGTATGGAAAAATGAAGCAGAAGAATAAACATTATCCAATCTCTTCTAAATAAATACATATGATTAAAGGTAAGGGAAGTTCCAAGGTATCAATAACTCATGTTCTTCTGAAGTTGATTAGTGACTTTTACATGATCTTTTGTGGCTTGTGGATTCTTCTCATTTTTGGCTATGAGATAGTAACCAAAGCAAAAACATAAAAAAACCTCGTTTGAATAATGAACTAAAAGGAAATCATGATTGTGACTATAAATGATAGGCAGACAGAATATAAAGAGGAAGCAGTACATGCTGCTGGAGGCAATGCAACCTGGTACAACCACTATGGACTTCAGTATGGAGGTCCACAAGAAAATATAAAAATATACAATATGATTTAGCTACTCCTGCACTATGTATATTTCTGAACAAATGTAAATCTTCATAAAATAGATATACTTCCACACCCATGTTTATTGCTGCACTATTCACAATAGTAAGAATTTAAATCAACCCAGTGTCTATCATCAGATGAATAGATAAAAAACATACATATGGCAAAGAAAATTGTACAGCTATAATAAAAGTAGAAATCACATAAAAGTGTTAATTTTTTCTCTGTGACTCAATATACAGATTTGATTAAAAAAAGACTCATTGTGTAGGTGAATACAATATTTATTATTCTTCATTTGGGTATGGAGTTCAGCCAACTTCTCCTGGTCCAGGCTGATTAGTGGCAGTCTTGAAATCTTCTGTATCCTTGGTGTTTTCCTTACTGCATGTCCCATCAGTATCTGTGACAGCCATTGGGCAAGGTGGCACATGAGTGGTTGAGTCAGGACATTTTCAAAGTCAATGTAATCTTAGAAAATGTAGTGAGACCAAACTGAAAAATAAAATAAAATGTTGTACTTAACAGGAGCCATCCCTGGTGGTGGATAGGTCCTGCAGAGGATGTAAGGAGTAGGCAGGAGAAAGAAGTGAGCCAGGCCATGTTGGTTGGGAGAATCTTGCAGGCTGACTGACTAGCAGCCAGAGTTTTTCTTTATTTATGCAGAATTTAGTTATCAGGGATACATTCATGATGTTCCAAAACATAGATCATATCATTTTTGTTTTTGGACATGTGTTTCACTTCCTTTTGTTCATCTTTTAGTCATCATTAATAAACTATGACACAACAGAGTTATCATTTCCATACATTTTTCCTCAAGTTTTGACATCATTAATAAACAGAGTTATCATTCTTACTCATAAAACCCATAACCCAATTTTTGAGAATCTAGAGGCATATGACAGCCTGTACTCAGGCTGGTTGTTTTGGTTGCTTCAAGGACACTAGACCAAAACAAAATCTTCAACCACCCTGGGCATTTTGCCATGTCTCAAGAAATGTGTTATTAACTCTTAGTGGTCAGAGTGCCCAGGAAAAATCCTCAGGCTAAAGCTGATGAAGTAATTCAAATTCTGGAATAATATAATCAATGTTCACATTTATATCTTTACAGAATTGGTCTATATGTCTAATCCTGGCATTCTGTTGTTCCTTGGTCATATGACATTATAGTGGCTCTACATGAACTAACTTCTAAGAGAGGAAGGTCCTAACACCTCATACTTTTATCATCTTTCCACTCCACACTTTGCTCATCAATATGTCTTTGTGTAGGGCAGTTGTATGCCATGTAATTGTCTGAGTGTACACTGGGAAGAGCCTTGTAATCTGAACTGTGGCCAACTCCTCTAGCCCACTGAATCTTGTTGACCTTTTTAATTTTACTTTGTTTTGAATATCTTGTTTCAGTGTAAGTACAGGGACAAATGTTTCAAGAATGTCTCATAGCCTCATGAAGAGACCTCTGGCTTCTTCTTTATGTGTCACAACCTCCAAGGCATAAGGAAGACCTTCAAGCAGATAAGGATGTCTCCCTCAATGTGTGGGAGGGATAGTATGTTCAGGACTTTCCTGGATAAGCTTAAAAGAAGCATTCCTGGGAGAAGGCATAAATGATTCATAAGGAATTTTCCATCAAACCAATATCCTCAAATTATACACATATTAAAAGTGCCCCACATATGTAACAGGTGGAGATGAAAACCAAAGGTGGCATGGCAGACATCATGCAGCTCAGCTTTGCTGGATCTTTGTCAAGCACCTGTGCTGGCTTTATGACTTCTGCCATTCCATTCAGATATGGCTATGCCATGTATTGCTCTTACAATGAAATTTTTTGAGTACCTGGATGAGAATGCAACCTTGACAACACCTTGACTATAACCTGTGAGAGCCTGAGGAAAGGGTCCAGACATACCCTGCTCAGATAATTATGCTGAGCTCATAAGTCACTGAGTTTGTGATAACTTCTTGTGCAGTACTAGGAAAGTCATACAATACATACATACATACATACATATCATCCTGATATAGGACTGTAACTTGAAAAACTCAGAGATGTACATCTGAAAGTGTCACTAAGGGTCATTTTGTTGAGCTTTCTCACTTCACATGTGGAGGATACAAAAACCTCAAAGAAGGTCCATGAGGGAAGTGAAGAGTATCTAGGAAGTAAAACTTCCAAGACCATGAGTTGCACACTTGGGCCTCTAGAGTTCATGCACCTACAATGGTAGAACAACTAGAATATGAAAAGGAGCTGGACATGGTCACATATAATTCAGCAGTCAGAGTGAAGAGGCTGATGGGTTGCAGGTTCAGAGTCACTGTGTGCTACATAGTGATTTCCAGGTCAGCACAGGTTATATAGTGATATTTTGTACTCCTTCACCTAAGAAGACAACAGAAACTGAATCAGGCAAGAAGAGAATGTGGCCACATTATAGAAGATATTATAGAGAAAGATGTGAGTATTGGATGAGGAGAAAAGACCAGCTAATGAGTATAAGCCCATGAACGAGCAT